TTCCTGCAGTAGAGAAGACAGGGCCCCGCAGAACCTCAGGACAGGAAGGGCTGAGAGGAGGGTGCGGGAGGGGAGCTCAGAGAGCAAGCTCAGCCCTCTGAGGCTCCTGGGGGTGGGGGGGGCAGGCATCAGCATGAAACGGGCTCTTGGGGAGGCTTCACAGAGGTGGCTTTGAGACTGACCTCAGTCAGTGGTGCAGCTCACAGCAGGGCCTTGAGGAAGAGACCCTGAAGATAAAGGCAGATATAAAGTTGCCAAGAAGCAAGGGGAACTGAACAGGGTGTGAGAAAGTAAACAGGTTTTCAAAAGTGACCTGACAGGTCCATCCACAGCTCGACAAACAACCCGGTTTCGCTCCTTTTCAGGGCTGAGTAATATGCCATCACATATACACACCACATCTTTATCCATTCCCCTGTCGATGGACATCTAGGTCATTTCCATGTCCTGGCTGTTGTCACTAGTGCTGCAATGACCATTGAGGTGCATGCGTCTTTTTGGACTACGGTTTTCTCAGGGTATATATATGCCCAGTGGTGGGATTGCTGGGTTATTCAGTAGTTCTGTTTTTAGTTTAAGGAACCTCCATATTGTTCTCTGTAGTGGCTGAATCAATTTACATTCCCACCAACAGTGCAAGAGGGTTCCCTTTTCTCCACACCCTCTCCAGCATTTATTATTTGTAGATATTTTTGAGAGAATTAAAAAAAAATAATAATAACCAGAGGCCCAAGAGAGAGCAGAGTCCAAACAGTTCGAAGAAGCTGTAAGCCAACTCATTTAAGTGACCTCTAAGGAAACTGAGGCCCAGGACCAGCCAAAGACAGTGGCCCTGAAGGCTTGTGGCCCAGGGCTCTTCCTGGCCACAGCGCATCTCCAAACACCCGCTCAGAGGTCGAACCCCACGTCGTCTGCATCGGGATCAGCAGACATTGTGGGCAGCACAGTAGGTGGGAGCCCGATTGTGCCAATATCTCAGATGCTGCCGCCAGACCCTGCCCGCCCCCACCAGGGGAGAAACACCCAGGCCTGAGTTAGAAGCCCTGGAGCCGCCTATCTGCAGATCTTTAACAAGGAGCCTCATGATACTGCAGCTGAGTGGTAAAAAGGAAAAGTGATTTTGTCTTTTGTGGGGACTGTTCTCTACACCAGCTCCAGGACCTGCATACCAAAACCTGCCTGCTTTTAGGTGTTGATTTATTCAGATGGTGTCATTTTACAATTAGGAAACAGTTCCAGAGAAGCTGTGATTTTAATGTCAGTAAGAACAGAAGCCAGGAGGGTGGCTTACACCAGGCTGTGGCTTTAAGGTCCTCATCGGAGGTTCTGTCTGGTGTGAGAACTAGCTTTGTACTTTTCAGCAATTTCGTCACACAGAATTGTCTTTGATATTCTTTTCTATCTGATAAATACCTTTGTTCTCTTGAAACTTTCCATGTCTAAGAAATTGCTCAAAAAGTCATTTTTTTTTTAATAAAGAAAACAAAGTTTTAAAAATAACATGTGAAAAACCCCACGTCACTTTGGTCATCTTTTCTTCGACTGATATAAAGGCACTGAGGCCAAGTTTGTGCCTCAGGACAGATATACACACACACACACACACCTTGGGCACCCACTGTGGTACAACTAACAGCAGCATCTTTTTACACTATATTCGTATATGACATCGACAATCACGTCTCATTTCCTCTCATCCACCTTGATTGAGGCAAAGAGAGGATCAACAGCCAACGCTGTTGTGAATATCCATCTGGAAATGGTCATTATTGCATCATCATATTTGTTCTTTCACTTGTCATGTACCATTAGCAGGTAACAAGATCACTGTGGGTCTAAGACTATGGAGATAATTAGAGCAGCTATAGGTTAGCAGGAAATCAAGTTGTGCTGGTACCAATCAGTGCGGGGAGCAGACGCAATTAGAGGGAAAATCTGCAAAGGTCTTGAGAGGAATAAGGCCCGGGGGATTCAGTACCGTGACTGACTTGACAGTAACTTCCGGTCTCGCATTGCAAATAGTGGCCTGGAAAAGAGTGGGAGAGCGGGAGCAGGGTGGTCTGCCAGCAAGGCCAGGGATGGTGCGTGTTTGGAAGGTCTCAATAACTGCCTGATTTGGAATAACAGTGGTTATCATGTTTTCCAATCTACTAGCCTTTCTTCAAGTTATTTTCTCCAGTCTGGGAGCTGGGTATTAGCATAAGAGCAGGGTAAAGGGGGTGGCCTTCATTCAAGCCCAGCATCAGCTTTCCAAGCCTGGGAGTCTGGTGCCCCCAGCCAGCCGTCTTCCAGAGCCCCCTGTGCCAACGCCACCTGCCTCTGCCCGTGAGGCTGCAGGTGTCCTCAGCCTAGACCCCCAGCCCCCCTTTTCTAATTCTCCCAACAGCAGCCACCCACATCCTGCTAAAGCCGGCCTGCCTTTGTTTCCTCCAGTTAAGACACAAACACTCATCATCCATCACATGAACACCAGGAAATTTAACAGATTTTACATCTTGAAAAGACAAAACAGGTTTTAGAGGATGAGGGAGAGATGTTCAAGCTGATGAGGGTTATGCCAGGTAATTCAACAAAACACAGGAAAAGACGGGGACATACCTGGAAGGCCTGAAGTAACGCACAACAGACCGAGCCCACAGACTGCAATGTGAAGAACAGGCACACGCCGGCTGTCGGCAGAGGCGCTCGATCAGATGTCACCAACGCAGACGAACCACACGCTGAGTTCTGAAGGACGTGCGGGACACAGAGGGCACTGGCTAACTCGGCCTGCATATACATCCCCTACGAAATCCGAAATTCCCTTCCCAGGACTCAGCTTAGAACATACAATCAAAACAAACCAAACACTCCTGACTGTATGGAGGGCAGACATTTACAGAGACTAACCGGCAGAGGCTGTGTGGGTCAGAGAGGGCGGCCAGCCTTCCGTCCTCACTCAAGGGTTCGAGGTGCTTCTCTGCTTCCAGGGCCTGGGCTGTCTTGCAGGCTCGGCTTCTTCCCTAGGTAAGGATGGCCACCCCACACAAACAGGCAGCTGGAAGCTTGGTTCACATTTTTTAATAACATGGCACAGTTTACATAACACAAGAAGGCTCCGCCGATGAGAACATGCTGAAGACCCAAGTCGCTCCGCGTTTCTTTTCACACAGGATCTAGAAAGGACTTTATTACATACAGGAGGAACGGCAAAAAGGTCTGTACAGAACAATCTCTTTACAATACTGAAAGCTACCACTACGGTTCCAGTGTACATATTCCTTGGATTTTTTTTTTTCCTTTTTAGTTGTTGTCTTAAAAAAAAAAACACTGCACAACATTTGGAATTCACAAAATCTGAAGCTCACAACTAAACCTTCAGTTGACTACTAAAATAGATCTCTCTGCTTATTAGAAACAATGGTCTGTAGTTAACTTTTTTTTTTGCAAAAACAGGATAACAACGTCAGATAGCACTTTAATATACTAGAAGACCAAATGGAACTAATTTTATTTCATACATATATTTTACAGTCCAGTAGACAAGATATATTGTATCTCTGCTAGTAAAGTCATATTCTCTCCAAATTAGGTAGACAAGAGGCTGACTGTATGATAAAAGTATCATGAAGAGACAGTAAGATTGATGCAAAACTCAAAAACACACGCACACACAAGACCACCTCTCTGCCTGCCGCCTTCCGCCCTCTGCAACGCTCCCTGGCCCCACAATGCCGACCTGCCTCGGCTCCCCCTGGACGTGGTTGCCGACGGGAACACGGTGAGCCATGCTAGGGAGCGTGCTCCTGAACTCCATCAGTTATTGAATGCAGTGAAAACATATCCATCATCTGAGAAAACTCGAAGCTTTCTTTCAGGATCTGTTTGGGTGCAACTGAATCTCATTACAGAACAAGGAGGGGTGTACAGATAAGAAACAGGACGCGCTGAAAAACGCATGGTTCCCACATGAGGGGTGTGTGAAGTCACGTGACGGATGGTGACGAGGTGCTGGCGGCCTGTTTGTGTCCCCTGATTTTGGCATCTGACCGTTCCCATCCTCCCCGGCCCTGGTTGGTCAGTCACGGCCTCGGTTTACCTCTCCGGGGCTGCACTCTCCTCTCCCCACCCCTACATGTACCCAAGGCCCACAAGCAGCAACTTCAGATGCAAAGTTTCAGCCTGGGGGTCCAATTTGCAAAATCAGGTGTTATTCTCCATTTGAAAAAACAAGCAAGGAAAACAGTCATATCATGTTAAGTGCTTGTTCAGGGAAAATATGACCTTAAGTATGTTGTAAATGGACTTGAAAAGGCTCCTTTGAGTTAGGCGGGCTTTTGTGAAAAGCCCTAACATTCATTGCATAGTTGAAGGGTTTAGCTGTCTAGAACAATACATGGGGAACACAGCCAAAGCTGGCTGTGCTTGCTGATATTAAGTCTGCAAATAGCACATTTTAAGAAGTATTAATGTATTATGTTACTTAATCTTTATCTATTTACATCTGTACAAAGTAAAGCTTTCATCTTACCCTTTTGCATATATGAACCATTAGCTCATGAAGCAACAAGCCCCCCCCCACCTTTTTTTCTTTACATAACTATGTACACGGCCTTCCCTTCTCACCCCGAAGAGCTCTCTGCATGATGGATAGTGTGGACTCTTGTCTGCTTCCCCCCCACCCCCCAATTATCACCGTGTCGGTGTGTGTGTTGTCATCTTAACTGTTTTGGTTCAAATCAAAAAAAGTTTTATATGACAAACCAAAAGAGTGGGGAGACGTGAGAACGTATGAATCAGCTAAAAGATTTGAAAAATTTCAACAGAGAATATACAAAAAACATTTCAAAATCTGCACCGAGTCTATACATTTTTTTTTTTTTATACACAGGGAAGCGCTGGGGGCTCCCCACCCGCGCTGGAGACGCGGGCCTGGCCAGCGCGTGCGGAGGGCAGGCCCGCAAGTCCGGCGCTGTGCGGCCCGCGGGCCTGTGTGTCCCGCCGGGCGTCCTGTCCACTCCTTACCGGGCTTCGATGTCCTTCAGCGTGTGGGAGGGAGGCCGCTCCCTGATCTCGGCGGACAGGGGCGTAGTCCTGCGGGGGGACACGGGGCGGCCCCCCAGCGTGGAGATGAGCGGGGGCGGCGCGCTCAGCGCCGCCGTCGGGGGCGTCTTGTTGAGCAGTCCGTTCTGGTGGCCCGCCGTCGGGCTGATGCGCGGGTAGTGCATGCTCGGCAGCCCCGGCGTGAGCAGCCCCGGGTGCGGCAGGTGGCCGTCCAGGGAGGCGGGGTGCACGGGGTGCAGGCGCGGGTGCTCGTAGTCCTCGCGGAGCACGTGCAGGCGCTCGCGCTCGTCCAGGTGCGCCCCGCGCTCGTGCTCCCGCCGCGCGTCCACTGCCAGCGGGGGGTGGTGGTGGTGGTGGTGGTGGTGGCTGTAGTCGTGGGGCTCCCGGTCCCGGAAGGCGCGCTCGGCCTCGTACAGCCGCGGGGCCGAGAGCCGGTGCAGAGGGTCGCTCCTCAGCAGGAAGTCCCTGCCCAGCGGGTCTCTGCGGTGCATGTCCAGCTCCCGGTAAGGGTCCCTTAGGGGGTCCCGGATGGGGTCCCAGTGGAAGGAAGGGTACGGGAAGCGCTCCCCTCCCGGGATGGGGCTGAGGCCCATGAAGGGCGTCATCATGCGAGTCCTGTCCAGGCCGCTGATGCTGTTCATGGGGTGGATCCCGGGCATCCCCACGGCCACGGGCACGGAGGCCAGGGGCCCCGGGTGCACGCCGGCCGAGGAGCTGGGCGGCGGCGGCGGCGGCTCCGAGGGCCGGTGGGTCGGAGCGGCCTCGGGGGGCAGGTCGTGGTCCTCCTTGCGCTCCTCCTTGACCTTGATCTCGGCGCTCTTCTTGGGGTTCTCGTAGGCCGGCTCGCCCTTGCGCGGCTCGGCGTCCCGGCCGGCGGCGCTGCCCGGCCGGGCGCTGTCGGCGGCGGGCGCGCGCGCGTAGGGCGACGGCACCCGGGCCAGCTGCTTGGCCTCCTCGCCCGCGGCGCGGCCCTCGTGGCCGTGGCCGTCCTTCTCGGCCAGGGGGCCCTCCTTCGCCTTGTGCTCGTCGGCGCCCAGGTCCTTGCGCGATTCTGGGTGCTCCCGCTCCCTGTCCTTGCACTTGTCTTTCTCGCGAGCCTCGGTGCTCAGATGCCCCCTGATCTGCTCGCCGGAGCTGCGGCCGTGTCCCAGGGTGCTCACCGGGAGGACGGGGGCTGGAGAGGGGTGGCTGGAGTGTCTCTTCTCGACGCTTTCCCTGCGGAGGAGACGGGACATGGGGAGGCAGGTGAGCTGGGCTGCCGGGCGCCTGATGAGATGGCTGAACAGGCCGGGCAGGGCTCAGCTCCCTCGGTCCCCGGGATGGCCGCCGTGCCCGAGGCGCGGCCCATCCGGCCACCTTGCCCTGACTGGCCTAGACTCCAGAGGAGGCTTCAGGGGGTGAAGCCCGAGGGATGCGGGGTGGGAGAGTGTGAGGGGGCGTAACTCTGTGTATGTAAGAGGCACCGACCTGAATCAAGACCAGGAGGAAGGACTTTCAGAAACCTGAAGGGACCAGGGAGGTCAGTGATGGGGCCATGCGGCTGCCTGTCTAGATTCTCAGGATCCTCAGGGTCAAGAATCAAGTTCCAACACTGCAATTCTGAGCCAGCCGGAGAGCACAACCTGAGGATCATGGAAAAATCTCTCTCCTGACAGCAGGAGGAAGGGCTGGTTTCAGAGTAAAGGCAGCAGGTGTAGGGCAACCAAGATGCAGCCCCCGAGGGGCTCGAAAGGAAACCAGTTTCAGAACGCTGGGGTCGCACAAAGCACCTCTGCCTTAGGAGAGAGAAGCCGGGATCTGACACCAGAAGCAGCAGCAGGTCCAGAGACATGAAAGCTAAGGGGCTGGTGGGGACTCAGTTCCAATCTGTGAACGGAAGTGTGGAAGGAGAACTCGAGAGGCCTGTCTTGGGTGGGGGTTTAAGGATACAGGACACACCATGGGAAGCGACAGAGGAAAGAGAGGGGGAACGTGGCGAGCTGAGACCAGGAATCCGGGTGTTTCAGGGACTGCCTGAGACAGGAAGTGGGGAAAGCAAGATGCCTGGGGGGCCCAGACGGTGAGGGTGCCCCGCAGAGAGAACTCAGGCTGCCCTGACAAGTTTTTGTTTCTAGACAATGTGCAGGGGCTAAGACGACGACCATCTTTAAGAGGTAAGAATAAAGAAAAGTGTATTTGAATTTCCTAACTTTCATCCAAAAGGCCATTGTGAGTCCATCTAGAGCAGGCGTTTCCCCCCCACCCCAGCCAGGAATTGGCACCCGTCTATCTGTGGCCTGTTAGGAACAGGGTGGCATAGCAGGAGGTGAGTAGCAGACAAAACTGAGGCCCTCTCTGCCTGCTTGCCCCCAGGACCACAGAAAAGCTGTCTTCCACAAAATTGGTCCCTTGTGCCAAAGAAACTGGGGACCACTGATCTAAAGAGCTCCTGGTCTAGGGGCGGCCCCTCCAGGGGCACCTGCTCTGGCAGCTCAGAGCTGTATGTCATGTCCTAAATGGCCCTCCCATTGGCTGGGAGATTTTTACCATGCTGTCCTGAGGAAAAAACTTCTCATTTTATAAGAAAGAAATCTCTTACTTAGCATGATGGCCTATGATGCAATAGCTACTTAACCTGCTGCATTTAGAGCCTCCAAAGTTAAAATTCTTTTAGATTGCTATGAAACACATACATATACACACACATACATGCACACAATACACAGTCAATAAAAACAAAAGATTTGGATCGTACTGGAGACACCTTAAGTATTTTCTGTCAGGTGTATCTCGTGTAGTCCTTGCTAGTTCCTTCAACATGAAAATACCCTCAAGAAAGGGAGGCAGGTAGGAGGAAGGCCCTGGCAAGAATGCTTATGACATTCTTCAGAAAAAATACTCTTTTCTTTTTGAGGCACGGACTACCACATAAGGAGATAAAAACGGTTAGTAAAATGAGTTATCCACTGGTGACAGGAAACCCAAATTGCCTGGTGAGGTTTCTTTCAATCTGGGTTAGCAAAAGCTTAGCGGTCATCTGTGAGCCCAGGATTTGAGTTTGAACAAAATTTGAGAAAAATATGATGAGACGATGCAAAACATGGCTTTCTAACAGAAAACAAAAAAAAAGGGGGAGAGAAAGAGAGAGAGCAAAAAACCTATGGATGAGTCAATGGACTGCACGAACTTGAAAGCAAATATGGTGTTGATTCATGCCGTGTGTGTCTGGTCCAGGCTCCAACTCACTACCTTTTCGAGAGCGGTTTCTGTTTGGAGACACTAGGGCTCGCGGGGGGCTGGGTGTGGACACTGCTGCTGAGCTGGGACTCGCTTTGTACTGGACCTAGAATTGCGATGCTGGCCTGTGGTCATGAGGCCCTGCGGGCTGGAGGGAGAAGGGTCTCTGGGCTCAGGGCGTGGTGGTGGCGGTGGGAAGGAGGGTCGGGGGTGCCGTCCCGGCTGCGTGAGGGGCCGGGGCTACAGCTGAAGCTCAAGGCTGGGCCGGGGGGCCGGGGGGGATGGTGGGGGGCCGGTACTTGGCACAGAGGGGGCTCCCCCATTGGGACTCGAGAGCGGGTTCTTTGCGTACCTTTCTTTGTCATCTTTACTAACGGAGGAGTCTCGTTTATCTACATCTCTATCTCTGTCATGAGCTGCAGCGGACGCGCTACGCTCCAGCTCCCCTGGCTTCAGCCAGGGCGGAGGGGTCGGGAACGACGGAGGCGTTCGGTGCAGCCGGTTCCAGGGCTCGTGAGGGTTGCTAAAGCTCTGCACACTGGGGCCATCCTTGTGGCCGAACACTGAGTTGGGTGCTGAAATGGTGAAGTGGAGAACAAAAAAGGTTTCAGAGAAATTATATAATCCGCCGTAATGAAGGTACTTACCAAAAAACTTTTAACAGCATTCAGAGTTAAAATGAATACATATTATTGGGAGCTGGAAAAGGAAAGGAGATTAACAGATTCATTAGAGGAACGCGTCCTACACTGGAGAGGTTAAGTAAGCTCACAGCTTTTCTTTTTTTTTTACCCAAAGGCAAAGGGGCAGACGGGGGTGGAGAGGGGGAGATTAGAAAGGAAAGGGTCTCAGCATCACTGGCTCACGCCTGTCAGGCGCACGTAGAGGTCCCGAGCATGCACGAGGGTGGATGTGACTTGGGTTAACAGCTCAGTTCAGAGGAGAATCTGCGGTTCTTTTCTGCCCACCACAACCCTGTTTATATAACACGACTGCTGCCCTGTCCACAACCTCAGCGACCGAAACCAGCATCAGCAGAAGCCAGACAGGGTCCTGATCTAAACAGACACGGAGGGTCTCCAGGCTCCGTGGACCTGGGATGGACCTGCCTCCTCAGTCTCCGGCAGTGGAGGGCAGGACATGTGGACAAGACACGCTGATGCTGAGTGGATAAAGGGTGTTTAGGCAGACTTCTTTTCTCTGTAAAGTCTTTACCGAATTTGTTACAATGCTGTTTCTGCCTTATGTTTTGATGTCTGTCCCACCAGGTATTGACTCCAAACCCGCCGCTGCATTGGAAGGTGACGTCTTAGCCGCTGGATTACCCTTGACTTCTCAGTGGTGGAAAATGACAGTCTTCCTGGATGTTGCCCCCTCTGGACTGTTCGGAGCCTGTTTCCTATTCTTCAGTGTGTTTTCTCACTTCCACCAAAGCAAGATGAAATTTAAAAGCTGTCTTCACGTCTAATGGGGTGGCTGGTGGTGGAGTCGCTATGTTGTGTCTGACTCTGCCACCCTGTGGACCGTATCCCACCACGCTCCTCCGTCCATGGGATTCTCCAGGCAAGAATACTGGAGTGGGTGGCCATTCCCTTCTCCAGGGGATCTTTCCCACCCAGGGATCAAACCCGGGTCTCCTGCATTGCAGGCAGATTCTTTACCACCGAGCCACCAGGGAAGCCCACGTCTGATGAGCGCTGTGGCTAAAATCGGAGTGGGTAGAGATGGAATAGGATGAAATTATGAACTTTAGCAAACTCTGTGGCGTTCAACTGACTACTTTTCCTGACCTTCAGGAGCATAGATCGACAGCGGGCTGGAGGTTGGTTTAGACCTAACTGTACTGACTGGGCTTGCTTTGGCAAGGATATAACCTCAATTTGTTTCCCAAGAGCGTGGTTTCCTTTCATCTAGAAAGGTCTCGAGCCATTGACAGATCAGAGGAGATAGTTTAAGGCAGATTGTAAAAATTTAGAGGTACTCACTAACTGAAGGATTTCCAAGTCCCCCGAAGGCATTGCCACCAACCGCTGCCAGGCCCGTGAACGTAGACGGCCGATTAAAAGGCTCTGCAGACGAGATTGGGAAGAAGGGCAAGGTTGTAGGGCTCTGCTGAGTGAGGCAGAGAAGGTTCCTGGGAAGGCAGTGGGGGCCCCTTGCCTCATGTATACTCAGACCTGATCTGTCTCACTTCTCCCACCAGATTATGCAAGGGGTTTTTCATCCTTTTGGATGTGGGCACTGGGTTAGCTATTTCCTGGGACTGTGCCGTGTACACGTGAGATCCTAGTTCCCTGACCAGCGATCACGCCCGTGCCCTGCTGCAGTGGAAGCTTGGAGTCTTGACCAGGGGCCCGTCAGGGAAGTCCCCCCACCTCTCTGCTGCTGGGTGGGGAACATTACTCAAGCCACAGGGTGCTCACATGCCTCCCTGCCCGTCTCTCCTCCTCTCAGGGACAGAGGTTAAGATGGCAGCTTAAAATCTCGTAATGGAACGCTGAGGTCACACATACCCTACACCCTGTGGTCGGGCATACCCTTGCCCGCATGTGCTGGTGCACACGTGAAAATACCAAATAAATAAAGGCCACGAATAAAGCCCCTTTCTTAGGAAGAGCTCTATGAATTGGGCTGTGAAGTGATTAAAAAATAACAGATACTATCTCTACATAACTCAAGGTGTCTTTCTCTCTACCTCCAGGGGTGCCCTTTCACGGGCAAGAGTTCACCGTCTTCACCGGTCAGTGGGGACAGGCTGCTGTAGATGGGGATTCCCTGAGATCCCAGGGCTTTCACCCTCTGCACCCCGAGTAACCCCACAGAGAACCCCACTGCACACGGATCTCCTACTTGCAGAGCTCGGTGTAAGAGGCGCTGAACTCCTAGAGAGGGATGGCCTGGATTCAAACATCTCTGAGGTCACCTCCACCTCCTGACGGTAAGTGACGTACCGTCACTTAGATTAAAAGGCTCTGCAGATGAGAGTCCTATGTAGGATTATGGCCTGCTAGCCAGGAAGTGCAGCAGGAACGCAAGTTTTCTGAGACACACACATCAGTGCCCGTGCATGAGGGACACAACTCACCGAGGTGGGCTGCGGGGTTCAGAAAGTTGCTATGATGAGGGGGCGGCCCAAACGGGGTCCCAGGTGGGTGTGCAGCGCCTGGGGGTCAAACAATGGAGTTAGCTTTCAGAGGAAGCCCACGTCTGGTGCTGGCCAAAAGGTTCATTTGGATTTTTCTGTATACTCTTACGGGAAAACCTGAACGAGTTTTTTGGCCAACCCAATACAACGCCACTGGCTCCTGGTCCCCTAAGACCCCCTGCAGGGAGTATGTTAAAGCAAGAACACAGCTGAAGTCCACCCAGGCAACACTCGGGGACAGAGACACGTGCCTGTCAGGGGCAGAAAGGAATTCAACCCCTCTTCTCTTTCCTGGCTGGGCTGCCCACTACCGAAAAGAGGTCTTCCTTTCTGAAGACGCCGATGCACAGCACCGCAAATATGGACAAACCACCAGTGGGGCAGGCGGTTCTACTGCCGCCTGAGTCTGGAGAAATGCCGGGTTAAAACCGGGAAGCAAGGTTCTTTACTGACGGACTAGGAGCTGTGACCACATGCCCTCCATCTCTCCAGGGGCAGCATCTGGCCTCGGGCTCCCTTCTTCAGAGACACCTCTTGGGGGGTGAGACTTTCACTCTGAGAGACACCGTCTAATCTGGGTGCAGGAGCAGCCAGCACAGAGCTGGACTCTGGGCTGCGCTGCTTGGGCTTCTGCACAATCCCTTTTCCTGAGAACGTGTTAGCTGTCACGGACCTGCATGGAAGGAGAGGCCAAAGCTGGACCCTGTGAAACGCACTGTGAGTTATGTCAGGTTGTGGGAGACGGAGGCCTCCAGCCGCCCCATCTTCAGTGCCGGGAAAAGCCAGTTTCTTCACGTGCTCCTGGACACCGATCACCCTGCAGCCCTGTTACTCTTTACTCCGCCTGCCAGGGAACTCGGGTCTACCTCAGCACTCTTTCCTTTGGTTTCCCTTTCCTCTCCTTTATACCTGGCCTCCATCCTCTGTTGCTGTTGTTTACTCGCTAAGTCGTGTCCGACTCTTTGCAACCCCACGCACTGCAGCCTGACCAGGTTCCTCTGTCCATGAAATTCTCCAGGCAGGAAGAGTGGAGTGGGTTTAGACATTTCCTCCTCCAGGGGATCTTCCTGACCCAGGGATCAAACCCACGTCTCCTGCATTGGCAGGCGGATTACTTATCACTGAGCCACATGGGAAGCCCCATGTACTTCCTTAGGAAGCCTCAAATCCTTCTTTTGAAGGAAGAGAAAGACAGTGTGCACATGTGCATTAGGGAAGGATGATATTTCCAAAAGCTGAGGGCATCCACCTGGCGTGTGTGTCGATGTGCAGCTAAGGAGGCAAGTTCTCTAGAAGGCAGGCCTGGCTCTAGACAAGAGGTAGGCCAAGGTCATCTGAAGAAGCCCCCTTAGTTTACTTTAGGCACTAGTGCCCAACAGCAAGATCAAAGTGGCTGAATTTTATACTTACCAGTTGAAAGTTTCACCAAATACCCATTTTGGGAAAACTTCAATAGAAGATTACCCTCCAGAATGGAAGTATAAACAGGGTCGGAATAGATTTACTAGTAACTGTTCCAAGAATCCCTTGCATTTTGACTACGTTCCTATAAGCCAAGTATAAATTCCTTCAGGAATGTAGATTAAGTGGAGGAGAGTTGATCCTTCAACACCCTATTAATTTATGTTTCGGGATTTTCTTCCCCAGCCTGGAAGGGTCCTGGAGGAAAGCACACAGCAGAGAACAGAGCCACAGCATCTCGGCATCAGAAGGCACCTGAGGAGTCCTCTGTTCAGCCCTCAATGGTGATGTATTCTCCACTCAGAAAGTGTGAGTATGACACCCACCTCCACATAGTGAACACAGCCTAGCGTGTTCATTAGCTCTTAACAGTGTTGCCAGCTAAATAACAATTTGGCTGCACACTGTCTGTGTAGTACAAGCTAATTAATGCTTTGAAGAAAATCAGAGCTTTGCTCAGTGCAGGGTCCCCAGGGGTGCCCCAGAGTTCCAGAATTATCAAAGCAAAAGCAGCCAACTTGTCTGCTGGGCTAAAATGGAAGCCGGGGAGAAACCTCTCTGTTTCTGTCCAAAAACTGTTCTTCATGTAGCCCTGTCTCAGTGCCTAGATGCCATGGTAACCTAGCCTTTGAATCTATCCCTCAAAAGAAATGACAGAAACCTAAGACCTTAGCAAATTCCATCTGCCCTCAAGGGTAGGGTCCCCTTGCTTTGGGGACAAGGCCCTTTAGAATGATGGGCTCTTGGAGTGTGTGGGTTATTTCTTTCTTCCTGAACAGAAGAGCCTTGGGTCCACCAAAAATGAGTCTTGGAAAAAGCCTAGGAAGGCGGCAGGCAGGATGGATGTGAAACTTACCCGCTAAGGACTAGAAACAGGGAGCCGCTTGAATATGCATGTCCAGGGCAAGAAATCTATCCTGCGTAGTGGGTAGGAGGTGATGGGGCCAACCATTAGGATGTGCTCAGCGTTGTCACTTAAGAGCACGACCCAGGGTAGCCCTGGGCCAGGCACCGTGTGCTGAAGGTAGTTTTAGGAAAGACTTTGATAGCAGTAGGGTGGCTCTTGTCTACTCCTGATGGCCGCTGCCTTCGTCTGCAGTTCCTGGGGCAGGACTGGGCAGGGACCTGATGCAGGGACGATCAGGGACCACTCTGGCACACCCAAGAGGCACCTGGGAGTGTGTGATCTCAGAGGTTAATACATGATCTCTTGTCCCCTAAATCTCCTGCATCATTACAACCAACCAGGCAAGAATGTTAAGTTCTGTAGCAGAGAAAACCAGCCACCAACTAATTCACGCTCTCTGACGCCACACCAGTGGCAGCTACCTTCACTTGTATGTTTATCCTCAGACCCTCAGCGGGCATAACAGAGCACTGCAGTGCGAAACCCCCGACTGCTCTGTGGGCAGAGACAGGGGCATTGTTTCCTTCCCAGTTACCCTCGCAAGCTCTCTTGATCTTTCTCAGTAGCATCTGACACTTGTGAGTTACAGTGGTTTAGTACAGAAGCAAATAATAAGCTGAAGCAACACGAGTCCCTGAAGGGAGACAGGGTCTTTTTCCTTCTTTCATGGAGGTGGAGCATCCATGGAGAACACTCCATCTCCGGTAATGTGCTGTGATGCCACCTTGCAAACTGGCATCACATGCTGTTTTGGGGGAGTGACTGTGAATAGCAGCCCAGAGTTCAGACATCACTCATCTAGCTACCCGAGAGCTACCACTCCCAGCTCACCCCTGCCCCTCCGAACTTACCAGCGGCAGAGAACAAAGTTGAAGGCCGTGCCAGGTCGTGGGGGTGGTGGATGGCTCCAAAGAGGCTGGGGCCTGGAGGACGGCTCAGGAACTCAGGCTTCAGGCCAAAGTCCAGCTTGTGTGGATCCGACTGCATCTGCTTCTACAGCACCAAGGGAGGGTGCGGGGAGGAAAGGATAGAAGCCCAAGAGAAACAGTAGGGAAGAAAGATATTAATGAGGAGACTGAGAGTCAACTCTGAATAGTGCATTCGGGCTAGGGGCCCTGGGTCAGCTTCAGGTCTACACCTGCTGGGAGAACATAGCAACCCACAAACCATGTAACCCTCAAATGCCAGAAAAGCAGGTCTGCCTCAGAGGGGCCTGTGGCTTGCAGCAGAAATGTCGAGGGGCAAAACTCATGTTCTGTCTTTGAGGTTACACGGTTTGAGACTTAGAACCATATCCTAGCTCCTTGAACCACCACCGTCCCTAAGTAGTTTCTGATTTGCTGCAAAGGTTCATTTTAGCAAGTTTTTAAATGATAGTATTTTAAAGCTCATTTTATTGGGAATTCTGCATGAATAATCCGCTGTGTAAATTAATTGTTTAATGACTCTTTGCTGTGCTCTAATAGATAACAGTACATTAGTAGCTGAAAGTTATGAAGAAATATTTGCATGCCTACAAGCTAATTTCAAATGATCGTTGTTACATTATTTTTAAAGAAACAAACAGAAACCAAGTAGGGATATTAATGTGACTAATAGGGGCTTTGGGCACAGTAACCCCAATCATCTGAGGAACAGCTCAGGCCAGACCAGTGAGCCTTCCAGAACCTCTCTTGCTGTGAAGTCCTTTCTGTCAATTGCAGTCACTCTATTTCCTCCTATCAGTATATCCACCCCCGAGCTCACCTTCCTTGGAGACTGTAGAAACTGGCTCCCGGTCTTCCCCCTGCTTCCTTCCCTGGCCTCACTCTGGACGCTGGCAGCCTCTCCGAGAGCATGGGTCCAGGATGCCCCCACCTTCGTGATTCTCAATAGCCTTCTCTGTATTGGCCTCACACCTCCCCTGATAAGCGCCGGTCCCTGACCCGGGTCTGAGGCTCCCAGTCTCCCGCTGCCTCGCCTTCTCCTCTGAGCTCTCCAGCCTCCCAGGCCTTCCCCACTTTCTGACCCTCACCCTTCCCATCTCAGACTCATCGGATGCTGTCTGTCCTTTGGCCCCGCTCCGCCCAACTCCATCAGGCTCTGCCACAAGTAAATCCCTGTCCTAGCACACAAAAACATCAACACAGAGGCATCAGATCTGACTTGTGTGAGGATCGGAGACGAGAGGGTTTGCCATCCCCTGGAGGCTGAACCTTACTGTCCTGCAATCTCACTCATCCGTTTTACCCACCCAGACCCCTCGAGCCAGCAGCAACACCATGGGAGGCAGACAGCACATTCTCCATTTTTCCTGCACACACTACTGAACTCTGAGCAACAAGACTCCAGAAGAGTCCAGCCCTGAGCTTGCAGCAGTAAGAACCTGCGGGTGCTGGGCTTTCCCTAGAAGTAGCTGGTGAGCGGCTAGAAGAACAAGTAAAATGAACATCACAGAGAAAGAGGACCAGGCCATTTCTGCTCTGATCTACAAGGAATTCTCTCATGAAAGTCCCACTATCAAGCAGTAGCCATTCCCCCCTCCCCAAAGCTGCTAATCCACTATGAATCTATAAAAATCTTCTGGCTGCCTCCTTTAATTTGGTTGCCAAATTATTCAGTGCTAATACTCCATGGTACACAGCACAGTTCCATTAACCACAACTTAGGTCCATGAAGCAAAATGGAGCTTGGGGATTACAGAGAATGTGCTGGAAAGGGAAGATGAACAGTTATCTCCTGTGCAAGAGGTCTTCCTAATTGAATTGGGATAATGAAGGTTGGAGTCGCTGGGGACGTTCTCGGGGAAAGGAAGATGCTGAAGTGATGCCTATAACATCCTTCATCGCTTTTAATCAAAGAAGTTACAAGGAGGATGTGTTTTACCCACCGTTCCACTAACCACGTCATCTAGAACAAAAGTGAATTGAACTAAGCATCAAAATCTAGTTAGCTCTTTCAAGTACACGTGTTTTTTTCAACGAAGCTAAACCACAAGGTTTCTAATTAAACCTCCCCTAACACTAACGTCAAGGAGAACAAAACTCACCGATGGGATATTCTAAGAGGAGGTATTTGGCACCAAAGCAAGATATCTTTGCAACCTCATTCACTGAGGGTGACTTTCACTTCTAACTATGTTGGGTTTTTAAAAATTATTTAACCATTAAAAAAAACCCTTGAGATGACTATCTCTTCTGATTTCTTTTTATATTCTGATCATGGCCCCCCACATGCTGTTGGGACTAAAATCTTGTTCATGAAAAAATAGCTTCCAATGGAAGGTTATTGGAATTACTTAACTGGTACAGTTACACAGATTGTAAACACCCAGACTATAAAATCTGGATCTGTCCCTTACTTTGGTGCCTAAGTTGACCAGTGATGTCCTATCTGGTCACCTGCAGAAGATCTGCATCTCTCTCTTGTATCATCATCAAACCCTGGTAAAGCATGGAACCTATTCATCTATCTGATGAAAACATAAAGCAAATACTCCTGAGTTCAGATAGGGTAACCAGCAGTCAGTGGTTCCAACAAGCACTGACTGTCATCGGACTTCTGGCATTGGTCATCAAGAGGATGAAGGAGAGATTGGATAGGTCACTGCCAACCAAATACCACTTTAGAAGAGGAATTTTGAACACTGTGAATTGCTAATGGACGTACCATATACGCCTAAATCAGTACCGTCATATAGGGCATAAATTATCACTTTTCAAAGCCATAAGATGAATAACAATAAGGTCCTATTGTGTAACACAGGGAACTATACTCACTATCCTGTATAAACCATGATGGAAAAGGGAAAATTTTTTCTAAATGTTGGGGGGGGGTGGGAAGAATATACCAACTTCTATAGAGAACTTTTCATGTACACCTCCTCTTAGATCCTAAGTATTTCCCATACTAATAATACTTGGTCACTCTAATTAGATTCCTCAAACCTTCATTTCAGGATTTCATCTATATTTAAGCTCTTTGGATCAATAAGATGACAAAATCATTAAAAAAAAACCAAACCATCAGGATATTATCAGTGTGCTTCTGTTTTGTTACTTTGCTGCTGCTTTCCCTAATTAATAGTAAGATTTCTGAATAGCTTTTCCAAGGGACCTGATCCTGCCTGCCTGTGGGTCTTCAGACTGTTTCAGTGCTTCCTCGATCAGGAGATCACACACCCAGAGCCCACCTCCCCCCAAGACTGGGCAGGCGGGACTGACCTTGACTTTCTGTTGGTGGTGGTAGATCTGCCAGGCAATGTGAACGTGCATCGCGCACCACTTTCCTGGTTTCTGGAACAAAAAAGAGCGACGTGATCAGAAGGAAGACTTTCAGGGGGGAAAAATAAACCCACACAACCCTTCCATTTCCCCAGAGCTGTCAGCAGATTTTGGCTGCAGAAGCTTTCTTTTCCATGAAACAAGAGGGCTTTGTCCCCTCCAAGCGCCTTCTCTCTGCTGCAGCCCGGGACCCAGGCCGGAGGAAGCCCCCCCTGGGTGGGTGGCATGTCTCCTCCCACAAGAGCCCGAGCTGGCGGCCACTCCTCAGAAAACCAGCCCTAAGCAGGACCTCCCCGGTTACCAAGGATAACGTGGCAAAACCCAAACCCCACTCTGTGCCTCCTCTGTCTCTCTCTTTTTTGGCGCCAGCTGGCTGGCCTGGTGGAGCGAAGCCCTGTTGAACAAATGTGGCCAGGCTATATAATGCAGATTGGCTGTTCAGAAGAGCTAATTAGTGAATGTCTGTGAACCAGTTTGAAAACGAGAGGGGACAGAACCTGTGTCACCTCCCCCAACACTGTTTTTTAAAAAAAAACGAAAGCAGAACAAAGAAAGCCAACACATTCTCATTGAAGCCCAGTTCCTGCAAGTGCTTCACTAAGAATCAACTGCCCATTCATGTTGGGCGGCACTGTTCATTTCCAAGCAGAAAACAGAAAAGAAAGAGATGAGAACTCACGCCTTTCCTCCTCTCTCGGCCTCTGCAGAGACTGAGTGCCTGTCCCACCCTCTGGGAGGACGTCAACTCCTATCTCCAGCTGGTTCCTGTCTTGCTTTCTAGGCTGGGGAGTAGCCGCGAGTCTGTCTTGCAGACTCACCCGAGGGGGCAGGACCGCCTTGTCCCACTTCACTTGTGTTCCTGCTACACGGTCTACCCACTGGCATCATCGACTCAATGGACATGAGTCTGAGCAAACTCTGGGAGGCAGTGAAGGACAGGGAAGCCTGGCCTGCTGCAGTCCATGAGGTTGCAGAGAGTCGGACATCGCTGAGCGACTGAACAACAGCCTACCCGTGAGCTCCACAAACATGTGCTCAGTAACCACAGGATGGATGAGAAGAAACACGGCCCCGTTCCTACACGGGCAAAGAGCAGATGCGTCTGGTTTCTAAATTAAGGCACTGTTTCTGAACATTAAGTCACTTTCACTTGTGAAATATATACTTAAATCCAAGTTTGAGCTCAGCTCTCTTGTAATGAAGTTATGAGTCGTCTGAAATCACCTAAGTGATGACACCATCCTTTCTCCCCCTTTGGAGAAATTGAATTATCTGAATAGATGCACTAGAAAAGGGTTAAATAGAGAAATCCACTATCCATCCCTCTTCATCTGCCATCCCTCACCTCCCCCCCCACCTCCCATGTACATCAGTGAAGTCAGCATTCACCCAGAGGTTATCTGCTGGCCAGGCTCCAGGCCTCTCAGAACAAACCAGTGCTCCGAGGGGCCCTTTTCTGCACCAGAGAAAAAGGTCGAGTGGCTGTGACAAGTCAACATTACTTAGTGCAGAAAGAGGCAGCCACCAGCCAGAATAGAGAGACCTGGTATGTATTTCCTAGGTGCTAGAGAAACAAGAGAATTCAGAGGAATCCTAATTTCAGCCTAGTTCCAGCCCTTCCCTGAAGTCTCCGTGAGTCAAACCTTTTGCCATAACTAACAAGAGAATCTGAGTTGAATTTTATCAGCTGGCTTTACCTCGATGGCCCGGCTTCCTCCAACACGCAAAGCAAAAACCATGAAGGCCATTTTCAGTCACACTCTCTTGAAAACCCAACCACTGTCTTTTCAACCTTGTCCTCCCGCGTTTCCATGGCGTGTTTCCTTGTAATGGATTTGTATTTTTAACCCTCGGGGAGTCAACAGCGGTTGCAAAACAGTTCTAGAAGAAGCTTTCTTACCCTTAACATAGGTCTGAAAGGATCTGTCAACTGTGAAGAGAAAATGACAACTTGGTTACATGCCTGTCACTCAAACAATTGCTCTAATTAACAAATTTGTAGTGCTTCATTAGGAGGGGAAATTAAAATGTTAGAATTTTACTTTTAAATGAAGCCCTTTTAGAGAATAATTAACCCATTTTCACATGATCAAAAGTGCCAAGCATCCCCTCCCCCACCTCACAAGCCTTGGTACATCTACGCTGACGAGCCCCCGGACAAGTTTAATCAATAGCGATTTGCCCTCCGGCAAAACCATTTGCTCACATTACACATCTGAGGAGTTTCACTGTCTTGAGCAGCCCTTCACAACCTCAGCTAAGCGTCTAAGGGAGATGGCCTTCAGACTACAGACGGCAAGACACTAATAATAACTGGGGAGAAGTGTTCTTTCCAGACTATACAGTAGAAATGGGCTATTTTTAATAATTATCATTGGCAGTATTAGACATTTTAGAGAAGTTCACTATCTAGACGACCTTATTTGCAAAGCAGAAACAGAGAACAAATGTATGGATACCAAGGGGGTAAGGGGGGGCAGTGGGAGGAACTGGGAGACTGGGATTAACACATATACACTAATGATACTATGTATAATATAGATCCCTTGGAGAAGGGAATGGCTACCCACTCCAGTGGTTTTGCCTGGAGAATTCCATGGACAGAGGAGCCTGGTGGGCTACAGTTCACGGGGTCGCAAAGAGTCAGACATAACTAACACCTTCAATGAAATAAAATAGATATCTAACACTTTAATAAAAGCTACTAACACTTTCAAGAAAATAAAATAGGTAACTAATGAGAACACACCGTGTAGCACAAGGAACTCTACTTAATATACTGTGGGGACTTGAATGAGAAGAAGTCCAAAAGGGGGGCAACATATATGTATATATATTTCATATACACGAAGCTGATTCATCTTGCTGTGCAGTAGAAGCTGACAGAGCATTGTAAAGGAACTTTACACATTTTATAATCCAATAAAAATTAATTAAAATAAAATGAAGTTCATTACACAAAAGTTCATATAAATACACAATTGAATCATATTATGTATCTACCTAACTCTGGTCATTAGTTTCAGATAACCTTTGCCCTTACCTGGGGTCAAAGACAATATTGTGAAAGGTAATTTTTTTTCCCCCACATTTACTATGAAGATGGATAACAATCAATGAGACAAGATTATATCTGCTGTGTAACTTCAGATTCTTTCTGAGTTGGTCTGTGTTATGAATAAATAACACAACCGAAGTGTAATGTATATTTTATTTAGCTCCAGAGCACAAGAGGTTCCTTCCCACAGGAGAAATCGAGTGGCCGGAAGAGCTGTGTGAGCTCCAGAAAGAAAAGCGCTTACTGCTTCTCCATTCAAAGTGTTTTATGGCTTGTGTGCGAGAGATGTTAGGAGATGCAGACAGAGAAGGCGGCTCGGGGGGTGGGGGACCACGCCAGCTCAGCGTCAGTGACCGCCCCAGCCTGGGCTTAGACCATAAGCCACCCTCTTCTCCCCATGCAAAGTCACTCTCCTGGCGTCGCATGGCCGCAGGAGACATTCTGTTTTCTAAGAGTAACTAGCTTAAGTGTTAGTCGCTCAGTTGTCTGCAACCCTTTGTGACCCTATGGACTGTATGTAGCCGGCCAGGCTCCTCTGTCCGTGGAATTCTCCAGGCAAGAATACTGCGGTGGGTAGTGATTCTCTTCTCCAGGGTATCTTTCTGATCCAGGGATCGAAACTGGGCCACCTGCATTGCAGGCAGATCTTCACCATCTGAGTCACCAGGAAAGCCCCTCAACCAGCATCCTCTTCCACAAAACAGAAAGGAGAGCGAGGCAGCAGGCACTCCGCTGGCTGCCGCCCGGGGCCCAGCCCGCCCTCGCGCTTACCCTCGGGTCCTTCTGGAGGAGAGCGTGCGGGACCGCCCCAGGCCGGGCGGCGACATCGATCGGGTTGGAGGTCTACAAGGCAATGAGACCACAGCTTAGGAAGCGCATGGCATGCGGCGTGAAACCAAGGGCTTCCTTTCATTCTAAAGGACCGAATGCAAGTGTCCTTTTTTGTTTGTTTCATTCTGGAATACAAGTGGATGGATCCATTTTCCTCTGAGACCCCAGATGCTCTTCATGAGGAACGCCCCCCCCCACCCCCCACACTCTCCATTTCCCCAGGGGACCTGACCAAAGCCTTCCCTGTCCCAGCGATGACATCTCAGGGCAGAGACAGGAGAGACGGAGATGGGAGCCCAGCCCTGAAATCAATCTTCTGTGTCCTTCACAAGCCCGCCACTGTGGGTTTTTTGCTTTATCACCAAGCAGTCCAAGAAATGCTTAAGTGAACATCAGTCTAACCTGCGGGACCAGGTGCTTCTCATCAGAATAACTGAGTGTGTTTCCCAGACATTAGGCTACCTCTCTACATTTTAACTGGCAGATGATAACAAGGAATTACATTCAGTAATTACTCATTAGCAGTGGTGGGAATGGGACAAGGGAACCTAATTTGGGGACCACACAGACCTACTGTTATGTCATTTTTAAAGTAATTCTGCACCATCTTTCCCATTCCCAGAACCATTCTTAAACAGCGTTAATGATAACAACCTTATCTACAGGCTTTTGTCCTCTGAATGAACAACAACAAAAAGCCCATCGAAGGCACAAGGCACTACTTTCTAGTGGGCAAAGGATTTAGAATATTTTTCACCAGGTATTTTATTTAAGAAATCACAACTTCTATGAATCCCTTCACACCAGGAAGTTAACTTGTGGAAATAAAGAGCCCTCAGTTCAGGCACCAAGCTGGCCTACAAGAAGGGGAAAAAAAGAATGGGAGAAAGAAAAGCAGTCAGCTGCTGCAGGGCCAACAATTAAGCTAGAGTTGTTAACAGCCTGATTTGCATACATATGAAGAACTCTGCTAATGAACTGCAATCTACATATTCAATCAGTAAGATGGCCTGGAAAGGCCTATTTCAACACCAGGAGAGACACTTTCTTGCCCAGATGTAGTTTTCTGTGTGATTGGATAATTGTGAGTGAGGGAAATCAAGTAATTTATAAAGTGACCTACCAGTCTGGTTGGGGATGCACGAGAGAGTTCCTGTAACCTGGTGGGGACCGACCAGGCTCTGAGAGGGTAGCCAAGAGCTGATGGGGGGAAGGAGTTTAAAAATCACCATCATTTGGTCCCGAGATGGGAGGTGCCGAGTATGGCCATCCGTAAGCCCCACCGAGGTCTGACCTGGCACAGGAGCTGCAGTTCTGTGTAGGTCCCTGGGATTTGGAAGGTGCAGCTATTCTCAACCCTAATGCTTTCTGATTTTTTTCTTTTCTAATTTTAGGGCAGCATGCCTTTGTTAGGGTAATATGCGCTCATCCTGGGAGAGACTGGCCCCAAATTTGTGTTTTATCTTTGAAACGAGATGGAAAGGAAACCGAAATCATAAAGCAAAATTTCCTACTTTACAGTCTGAGAATGGCTACTAACTAAGAAATACATTTCTGAAAATCAAGTAGGGGCTGTGATAGATGTAAAGTCACAAAAAAGGAGGAGTATTCTGAGAACTAACGCCTTAGTTTTGGCCCTCGGAGATCACTCGAGACCGAATGGAGGGAGTATCATTGACTAGGTAGAGAAGAATTCTGTTGTTATGAAGGGTGAAAGTGAAAGTCTGAGTCGCTCAGTCGTGTCCAACGCTTTGGGACGATGTGGACTGTAGTCCGCCAGGCTCCTCTGTCCATGGGATTCTCCAGGCAAGGCTACTGGAGTGGATTGCCAGGCCCTCCTCCAGGGGATCTTCCCGAGCCAGGGATGGAACGCAGGTCTCCCATACTGTAGGCAGATTCTTTACCATCTGAGCCACCAAGGCAAGCCCCTCTAAAGGGCAAAAGGTTAATTTATCTCATGCTAGGATGGTAGTCTTGACCTTGGGAAGTTGACCCTGGCAGCAGGGTTGGAAGCTTCAGAGAAGGCAGAAAGGGAGGAGAAAATAAGAAAGCACTAACCTCCACCTGGAGGTAGACTCTATCTGCAGACAGAGGGGACTGAAGAACGAAATGAAGGAGAATGAACACAGTGAAAAGGATACGATTTTAGTTTGGAACCTTTTCCCTTCCTTCTAGTCCAATCAATAAGGCTCAGCTTTGCATCTCTGCTAATCATGGACATCCCTCAAGGATAAATAACTTGATGCACATACATCTGACATTTCATATATTTTCTAATCAGAAGCTTATGTCCACAGTTTTGGTGAAAAAACAAAAAATATATATCTAGTGTTTTTTTTTTTCCTTCTTACAGAGCACAAGAAATCCTAGCTCCATTGAGATGACATGGGTAGTACAGGTTAAAAATTAAATTCTGACTGAGGTTTATGACTAGATGGACTAGGAGAAAATATTCACACTCTAATCCCAGTGGTCCATTTGGATGGAAAAATTAGCCACTGGCAGGTAAGAGGATGGGAAGCTACCCACCCGCCTTAGCCAGAGGCTCCACTTACAAGTTCGAAGGTGTTGTTTTCACTGTGAGGTTTCTTACCTTCGGCTGAAAAGCTCCTTGCAGTGACCCAAAAGGGCCGGTGGGTGGAATCATAGGGGGGATGCCCGATACAGCAGGAGGATAAGAATGGAAGAGCTATGGCCAAAGATGGAGGGGGGGAGAGAAAAGATTTTAGTAGGAGGCAAATGATACATTCACATTCCCTTCCCACAGAAAGATGTCCACATTAGCTAGCCAAGTCATCTCAGTTTGATGCCATTAGTCATAAGAAGCCACAATGAAATGATCACACAGATGTGCCATGAATACTTAACTTAAAAAGTTAAAAGTAGTTCAGAACCAATCAGCCAGCAAATGATGTCCCAGATGAGGCCATCATTAGAAAGGGAGTTTTTCTAATTATTAATTGTTAAATCGGATAGAAGTCCTAAATGGTTGGAGACTTTAATGCATATCAAAAACAGGAGGGGGTGCTGAGCTAAATAAGATGCCCAGAAAATTACAAGTTAATTAGAAAATAGGAAAAAGGGGAAAAAAAGGAAGACAAAAGGAAGCAAGTCTTTATGGATTCCAAGATTTTACACCATTAAAACTCAATTAGTACTTTTAGATTTTTTAATAGTTTTGAGGAAATGGGAAAATATGCACAGTTCTTGCTTCATTAGGTTGTTCTGATAAGTGGCAGTTCCAAGGACAATTTAAATTATCTAAAACGATGACAAATATTTGTGGAAGGGAAAATAAAATGACTCAAGAGTACACTTTCAATGGGGCCACACGTTTTCCTGTAAGATGAACGTAAAATCACTGGAGGCCATTCCAGATAAGCCCTGGACATGCCAGTCTGCCCACTCAGTGGGGGGAGCAGGAGGATTCTGAATTTAAAGCATGGATTTTCTTGAATTAGTAGTTTAGAGAGGACACAATGGAGGAAGGAAATACACAGCAGAAGACAATGCAGACACATCTTTTCCTCCACCTAAAAATATATCGTTTCTGGAGAATCTATCACTCTGGTTCCATTTACTTTGAAAAACTTACCACAGAGATACATTTTAGTGATGTCCTGCCCTTATGGTTGCACAATATGTCAAAAATACGAGAATAATTCAAGCTTTCCCTAATGATGTGTTTATGTGAGCTATTTCTAGGTAACAGCTGAAATCCACTGGTAATTTCACAATCGGGTCTGTTTTCAAAGCACGTACTTTTTCCGTTGGTCTTAATTTCATTTTGCTCCCCTCAATGATGCAGCAAAGTTTTTCAGACTCATTGATATTGAACTAAATCCACTTAAAAAACCAAGTGCCCTCATTTAAAACTACTTTTAAGTCTAAAATTGCGTTTTAGATACTTGTGTACTGTATCTTAACTCCCCTTTGTAACATCCTCATCTGCAAAGCAGGGGGAGACTAAGCACCTCATATATTACCCACTATAACTAATAATATGAAGTAACTCTTTCCCCATACACTGTGTGCAGCAGAGTAATTAAATACATCACACTAAAACACTCAAATTTCTATTACTCTGCCTCCAAGTGGGTATTTTTCCTTTAATGTTTTCAATTTAAAAATTGGATGTTCTCACCCTTTTCCTTTTCTGACCCTCTCTGAATAGAGCATTCCACCCCTCGAGTAAAAATCTGAAGTACTTGAGTAATAACACAGGAACGTTTCAAAAAACTCAGGCCTGCAGGTTTATCCTCCAGCTCACATCTAGGACTCTCTGTGGAATATGTTTATGCCGAGACACTGCATGGTGTCCGAGGAAGTAAACTGAGCTACCAGTAGAACAGCTAAACTTTTTCTGAAGATTTTGTTAGCCGCTCCTTAATTTAATTTAGCAAATACAGACAAAGGACAGAAATCTGGTTGTTATTATTAAGGGTGGTACCATGCATAAAATAGATGCAAAGAGAAAACCCGTGGCTCTACTGGATTTTGCATGTCCACTTACAAAAATGCTTTTATGTCGTAATTCTGAGCAGAGCAGTGTCTAACACTCGGGGAACCCAGGCACTTAGATAGATACTCTTTCCATAGAGACTCCCCTCGAGCCATTTCCGAATGTCTCTCCATAACCAGTTCTTAGCTGATTTCTAATACTGTCTAGCCTGGACTTCTCAGCTAATTCCTCAGTTTAGGACTAACACAGTGTCTAATGATCTAGTTGAAAGTATGAATGAATTCACAGGGTTGGCTGATCTATTAAGTGGTCCTCCATTTAAACCATAAGGTAACACTATCCAAAAATGAGAACAAAAATTGTTTACGATGGTGAACCGACATGGCTACGAGCAGTTATTAAACGTCTTTCTTTCCAGTTTCATTCAAAAAAATATATAAATAAACCATTGAGCAAAGAAACTTGCAAAACTTCAGGTAAAAATGATGCAGTATACACTCCATAATCAAAATATCATGGTAAGATATTCAAAGTTTCTGTTATAAAAGAAGCTCTCATAAGTAACTGAACATGTAACTTCAGTTGGCGCCAGTTTAGGTTCCAAAACGTTCTCTTAAAATCGCATGAAACAACTTTTATTAAAGAACAAAGAATGAGTTTAAAGAGAAGAAAAATCATGCATGTAAGACCTTCTTTCATTTAAATCATATTTTTAACAAGTTGGCACGAGCTCAGGAAAATAATGCCAGCCACGTGGAAGAGGGATCAACGGTCTAGAAGAAATGAAAATCTGCTTTTTGAAGTCATGAGTCAAAAAAACACGGTACTTTCTTTGGAAGACATAATTCAAGATGAACTCTGGGAACTCTGTGTGTTAATAACATCTCTACTGAGGACTGAAATCTGTGATTTCAGAAGCTCCTAAAACTCTAACACCTCCAACAAAGTGGATACCCCACTTGGCAGGACTTTAAAGTCTGGCTCATGACCTTTTGATTCAGAAGATGATACTGCATCTTTACCAAAAGCAAACGTCACAAAAGCAAGCATCCAAAGTGACGAGGAGCAATGGGAGTTCTTGCAAAGATGGTTAAGGAAGGCTGCGAGTCATTGACTGATCGGTGGCGAGAGCATGGAAATGGAAAAGCGGTTACATTGAATGGGTAGCATGGTAACTCACACTGTGCCGGTAGAATGGGTCAACTTTTGTAGGGTATTTGTCAAACTGCAAAGGGATCAAAGCAAAAGCTAGTTACTTAGAGAAACTACATTTCTATTGACTGCTTCAGCGGAGGCGGCCCCAAGGAAGCCTCTCTGTTGTCAGGCAGGCATCAGATTCCGTGACCGCAGTGTATACGAAATCATTCAGAGTTCCTGAGTCTCTCTGACCAGAAATCAACAGGAATGGAAAGTCAAAGTGAAAACCCATTCAGAGCATTTCAGGTGTGACTACACTAGAGCGGCTTTCTTTCTAGGCTTTATTTAGAGAAGGGCAGGAACTAAGCATCTGAACTAGAGAGGAGGCAGTTGTTCAGATAAATCAGAGAGAAGTGAGCACTGGCTCTGATTTATCCAGAGAATTCCCTCTGTCTTCATCTTTGCTTTGGCAGAATGGTATGTTCAGCTGTTTTTATGTTACCCCCTAGTGGGGGACAGGGCGGCCTGGTGTGCTGCAGTCCGCGGGTGCAAGATGTTGGACAGGACTTAGTAACTGAACAACAATTACCTCCCCCACTGCCCCCCGCTGAGTACAGAGCAACTCGGGCTTGGCCTTCGAACATTTCTTTCAAGCAGGAAAGAGTATATACCATGATTTCTTCTAAATAATGTCCTCACCCTGTGCTGTAACTCCCATCAATTAGATTTAACTTGTTTGTGAAACGGCTCACTCAGACTGGTATAAACTCCTTCCCCATATAAACAGGTCCTTAAAAATATAACTGTGGAAAAGTCGAGCTCATCCAAAAAAACAGATGCAGGATTTATCCGAGGAAAAATTTTTGGTCCCAAGGCCTCACCGCTAACATTCTCCTAAGTGAGGTTTATAAAATAAACTTTGAAATGTGTATTTTTAAAAAACTAAGTTGAACAAAATGGGGGAGACGGGAGGGAAGAGAGGATGCAAAGTTCAGTGAATCACGAAATTCAAATCCTCACAATGCCTGTTCTCATTGCCTTCAATCAAGTATTTCCTGAAATATTAAAAAATAAGTAAAATTCTAATCGTCACTGTTTGGACACGCATCCATCTCAGACCAGTTAGCATCATAGTGTGGTGCTGTTCCTTACAGCTCCTAAGTTAAAAGTCAACCCTAACTGGCTCCCACTCCACCCCTGGCACGTTCGTCCCAAGCCACGGCCAAGACCATGTCGCTCCCTGCAGTGGTCCCTCTTACCACCGGGCTGTTTGGACCGCTTGCTGCAGGGCATAGCAGCAGACAGGGGGCGCTGTCTCACGAGATGCGAGAAATGGAACACTTCCGACAGAGCGGGTTTAGAAAACCATCCGAGAGAGTGGGTGGGGGAACCCAGGGCCGTCCAAGTCTCCCACCGGCCCTCTCCCTTCCAGACTTCCCAGGATTCTGTGAGCGTTTATCTGCCAGCGCAAAACACCGGCAGATACATTTTTAGATCTGGTGGTCATTCCCCAAGATGTCCCCCAAACCCAAAATCCCCCGTAAGAAGTTAACTACGGACACATTGGATGTGACCGCCTTGGGGAGCATCTGGAATACAATCCACCCCCAGCGCTAAGAATAACGGGTCAGAAAAGAGCTCCCACTTCAGGCCCCGCGTCAGTGCCACCTGGAGCTGGGCGCATCCCAGAGAGAGATGGCAAGGCCACGGGAGCCCCCCAGGCGGTCTGCTGCGCCCGGACGGCCCGCCAGCCCCCGGGGCTGCGGGCGGAGAGCGGCGCGCGCTGCCGGCCTGGCCCTCCTGCGCCGTACGCACCATGGGCGGGGCCGGCGTCGGCATGATGGCGGCGGGCGGTAGGGCGTGCGGGAAGGGCGTGAAGGTGTGCTGGTGCGTGTGCTGGTGCGTGTGCTGGTGCTGGTGCTGGTGCTGGTGGAACTCGGTCCGCAGGTAGGGCGGGGGGCCCAGGGAGGCCCCGCGGTCAGCACTCTGAGACGCCAAAAAACGCGTGTTCAGCTCCTGGCGCAAGATGTCTTGCTCTGGAAAAGAAGAAGAGGCAGACGGTTACGCCTTTTCCCGGGTGGTCACTTCCTCCAAGAGCAGGACATCCAAGGGGCTCACTACGGAGGGCTCCAGGCCGGGCCTTTGTGGAGAGGGGCCGCCAGCCAGCCAGAGGCGGCTAAGGCCCACTCAACAGCCTAGCTCTGTTCTCTGTCCTGGCTTTCGGGGACGAGGGGTCCACCAGTGCCGTGCGCATACAGGGTCCAGGCTGAACGGCCAGAGGTCAAGTTTCAGCTCTTCTCGGGGCAGCTGAATGACCCAGGGCATTGCCCATCACCATCTGTGTCTGTTTCCTCATCTGTCAAATGGGGAACAACACATTGCCTGTGCTGTGGGGGTTTGAGGGTTAAAGAAATGAACATTTTTAAGTGCTTCCTCATGCCCTCTTCCCAGGGTAAACCTCTGCTCTATAGCTCTCTGTACTGGTGGCAAAGCTTGGCCACAGTGGACCCGAAGTTGGGACACTTGGCTCAATTAATACAGGTGAGGAGCAAAGAACCCAATACCTAACCCTAAGTGTGTCTTTAAAAATCTGGGCTATGTTGCCTCAAAAAGTGCATTTTCCCCACCCAAGGTAGAAGGCCTCATTTAATCTCTAGTCGCTCAGTCGTATCTGACTGTGACCCCGCCAGGCTCCTCTGTCCATCGGATTCACCAGGCCAGCATACTGGAGTGAGTTGCCACTGCCTTCTTCAGGGGATCTTCCTGACCCAGGGACTGAACTCGGGTCTCCCACATTGCAGGCAGAGTCTTTACCTGCCTAGCCATCAGGGCAGCCCTTTTTTGACTAAAACAAGTCCCTTAAGCCACGATGTGACTTAAGATCCTGGCCTGAAACAGACATGGGGTGTGGAGAGCTTCTGTCATGCCCATAGGGCCCAGACAACATGTGTTTTACTGTCCAGCGGGCAGCAGAAAAGCCTCATGCCTACAAAGTTCTCTCTGGCAGAATCCCCTGGATCGTTACAGGTTGGGATGGGGGCTGCTGGTACATTTTCTGCAGACTCTCAGCGCACTGGGGACTGGAGGAAGAAGACAACTATGAAGTGGACCACGGGGAGTGGCTCAAACCTAATCACTGGGGACAAAGAGGGGGCAAGGCCTCAGGAAGGCGGGGGGGGGGGGGGGGGGGGGGCGGGAGCACAGAGAAGCCAGGCCAGCTCCTCCCTCCTACCTGAGTAAGCGCTCCCGGCCGGGTGTCCGGGCACCTGCAGACTCCCAGATGTCAGAGGTGGAGGAGGAGGCAAAGCAGTGGGAGGGGCAAACATATTGGGGTGATGTGAGTGTGCGGGGGGCTGGAGGGTGGGCGTGAAGCTGTGCAGGGGGCTGTGGTTGGGCAGGGACAGGGGGAACGGGGAGGCCGAGGGGTGGTGGGAGATGTGAGGGGGGGCGGGCTGAGTCTTCGCTGGAGTGCTGCTTCTGCTACTGCTGTTGGAACACCAAAAAAATAAAAAAAAAAGAAGAAAGGAAAAAAGGGGGTCAGTAACCAACTTTCTTAAAAACAAAGCAGAGCCATTTAACGTCTCCTCTCGCTCCTTCGTCTTCGCAGGTCCCCGCCCTGCGCACACAGCACCTCTGCCGAGATCGCGGCTCCTGTGAACCGGCCCCACAGCTGTGGACACAGTGAACAGCAGCTCCTGCTCCCAGCTGCCCCCCATCGCCCTGTCATACCCTGTGCCAGCCACTCTTCCTACAGGGGCCACGTCAATGGAAACGAGCAAGGCGGTGACCTGGGCTCGCCAGGTCAGTCTGCTCCATCTTCTGTGAAGAAGCACAGGGAAGCGGGAAGCGGGGAGCCCGGGCGCCCCATCTCCTCCGCGGACCGGAGGCCACGAAAGGCGGGCCCGGCCCGCGGAGGCGCTTGCTTCCGCCACAGACAGGAAAGGGCAGGGCCCTCAGCCCCAGGCACCAGGCTGACACATGGAAAATGCCCCCCCAGCCGTGAGTGCGCGCTGAGCACAGCCCGGGGAGACGCGGCCGTGGGCCCCACCGCGCCCTGCACCCGGCCTCCAGCTCCCTTCCCTTCCGCCTGTGCTGCCGGTCAACCTTCCCTCTATGATCTGGCAAAAGCAAGACACAAGAGGCCTGGCTCCCCATGGAGGAACGCCTCTCCTTTCCTAAACCCTGCATCTTTCTCCTGTGTATCTGTGACCCACCTGGCGGAAGTCACCACGAAACTCCTCCAACCAGACCACTCCTTGGTGTCCAGGCTCCCGCCCACCAGGAGGTGCGGAGAGATGTTGAGAGGGAGGCAAACGGCTTCCCTTCTAAGACTCCCTTAATGTTCTGGGCATCCCCCCTGGTTTCCCTTTCCTGCCTCTAACCCGGGAGCCAGTGGAAGGTCCCAGGCACAGCGCCCTGGACTCTCCCTTGAACCTTCTCCCCCTGCAGTCACCCTCAGGAGCCTCCGCAGATAGTTGAGGTCTCCACCATGTGCTTACCACCCAACCGATCCTCAACCCAGTCCCACCCCATCTTCTCCCCAGAGACCCTGTCTCCCTGCGCCTCGGACCCCTTCCCTGTCTTCCGTGCTTGCCTGCTGGAGAACACGGTGACAGAGATTCCAACGGGAACCCCGGGCCCCATGGGAGCCCCCGCGCCCACTGCCACCTGCCCGTCCCACCGAAGATGACCGACGCCGGGGGGTGGCTCACCTGAGGCTGTTGAGGCTCAGGCTGCTGCTGTTGTAGGCGGACAGAGGCTGGGGGAGGCTCTGGGCGGAGGGGTGGGCCTGCGCGGGCGGGAGGGCCTGGGGCGGCAGCGGCCCCGGGGACTGTGGCCGGGCTGGCCGGGGCGCCTGCGGCGGCGCGGGCTGCAGCGAGGCCTCCGGGGGCGCGGGCGGCGGCTGCGCGCCGGGGCGTGGGGGCGGCGGCGGGGGCTCGGCGCGCGGCCCCGACGCGGGGTCCGGAGACGGTGCTCGGGGCTGGGGCTCCGCCTGGGGCTGGGGCGGCGGCGGCGGGACCTGAGGGCGCGCGTCCTTCAGCACCACGGGCTCGAACAGGGGCTCTTTGCCGCAGTCCTGGCTCTTCTCCTGGCTCCGCTCTAGACCCGATACCTTGGGGACAATGGGCCCCGCATCATGGCCGTCGTGGTGGGGTAGCGCACCGACGCCGAGCTCCGGATCTGTGCGGGGGAGAGGAGAGAAGAGCGAGGCAGACGGTGAGTGAGCGAAGCTGATCCCGGGCTGGGTCACCTGTGCCCAACGACACGATAGGTCAGGTCCTAGAAAGGTCCACCAGCCAGATAAGGCTGCCTTCCAGAAAGTGGTTGAGGCCATCAGAGTCTACAATTAAATGTTTCCCTTAATCTTGACAAAGCAAGATTATGCAGTGAAATTCACAAACAGTAGATAACAAATCGATTCACCCCCTTTAAAACAAAGACAGTTCTTTAAACAAAATTATTCATTTATTTGGCTGTGCTGGGTCCTAGTTGCCGCCCCTGCAATCTTCACTTGTGGTATGTGGGATCTAGTTCCCTGACTAGGGATCGAATCTGGGCCCCCTGCATAGGGAGCTCAGACTCTTAGCCACTGGGCCACCAGGAAGTCCCCAAACACAGTTCTTGACTATACAAAGGAGAAGTGTTTTCAGTAGCACGAGGCAAATATTATTTAGCCCCACAGACGTTTCTTCTCTGCCTTGCCTCCTCCCCCCTTTGCATTCTGACTGATGAAGCACGCCTGACATTTGGAGACATTTCTGCTGAGCAACAGCTAAATGTCTGGTCAAAGGTCAGGCCTCCTACGGCTCACTAAGGATTCAACCGTTTGAGATCAAAGGAGCAAACATGAATATAGACCAACTGACCGTCAACTACACAGGCTTGAGTTTTTAAAGAATTCCCTCTTGACCACAGGAGGGGTCCTTAGCCAGGTGAATCTGGACCTTGAGACCAAGCAGGATGGGAAATGTAAGTAAAATTCTACAGTAACTAATGATACCTAGATAACAGATGCTCCTGTATGAATTTAAATGATGTACTTCCCTCCAAAGGTCAAAAGACCCATGCCACATCTAGTATATGGGTACCCTGATGACCCCATAAGTCAAACTCCATACAATTCTCTAACAGAATGAGAGACAAATATGGTATTGCATATAAAGAGGTGGTTCTATGGTAAAGAATCCGCCTGCCAATGCAGGAAGTGCAGATTGGATCCCTGGGTTGGGAAGATCCCCTGGAGGAGGGCATGGTAACCCACTCCAGTATTCTTGCCTAGAAAATCCCATGGCTAGAGGAGCCTGGCGGGCTGCAGTCCACAGGGTTGCAGACAGTTGACCATGACCGATCATGCACATCTTTGAGGGGGTGGGGGGGAGGCAGGGATTATCTTCCCCACATTTTTGCACTTAAAAAAAAAAAATCCATCCTTTTCTTTTATTACAAAGCTTAAAAACAGGAAGAGAATAGATTACAACATTCTCTAAAATGGTGTATTTCAGGTACTCCTAAATGAATTACTTTGGGCATGACCTTCCTCTTCACATCTTCATGTTATTAAGTGTGAAAAATACATGGTATTCTCACTGGTCCTATTAATGTCTGTTGATGTCCTATTGGGTGTATACACTTGTCATGTTTTCTTCCCTGAAATTTGCATCAAAGCAATCCATTATTTTCAGTGTTCTTTTGGTAAAACAGATGAAATCTGTAACATGCACAAAAGCAGAAACAAATGGTGGGTTTATAAACAAACCACATGGTTAGGTATTATGAACTCAGCTATCCTTAAGTCCTGCAGACCAGTGTGGAACAATTACACTAACAGGATGCCAAGAAAGAGACCCCTCTTCACGTAATTCAGGCATGAAAGGATAAAGGTTTGGATGGATCTGGTGAAAAGGAACTCTAGACTTCTGACATCCTACGCACATACATTTTCTTCCAGTGCTGTCTTCAGAACTTTCCTAGGCAGATCTTTGCTTATGAAAAGCTGATGTGTTATGAATTTCCAGAACCTGAGGGCTGAGAGAGAACAGGAAGTTCCTGATGTGGACACAGAGCCCCTTCAGCCATAAGAACTCCCACATCACAGAGGAAGACCCTTCATCGGCAGACACCCAGATCTGAGGATGTTGGTGCTGCTGCTTTTTCACTGCCTTTTTTTTTTTATCACTTTCACAAGATTTTCCATAGGAAGCAATTATACAAGTTCACTAAAAACCACAGGCTTCACAGGCTGCAGGCTGCTTAGTCAGGCCTGGGGCAGAAAGCACTAACACCCAGGAAATCCTAAGAGGATGAAATAAGAGAACCTCCTCCATGAGGTCCTACGTGCATAAGCAGGGACTCTTCCTGTTCTGACAGCCGAGGACTGTGATGCTTTTGTGACAAATACGGCAAACATACAAAATGGAATATACCCCATCTTTTTGCACTGCTTTGTTCTCTCTGGACAAGGATGTTGCTGTTGTTTAGTTACTAAGTCATGTCTGACTCTTTGTGGCCCCATGGACTGTAGCCTGCCCGGTTCCTCTGTCCGTGGGATTTCCCAGGCAAGGATACTGGAGTGGGTCGCCATTTCCTTCTCCAGGGGATCTTCCCGAGCCAGGAATCGAACCCGGGTCTCCTGCATTGCAGGCAGACTCTACCACTGAGCCACCTGGGAAGCCTCCCAGGATGAGGATAGTGACAAATAAATACTAAGTATTTTCCATCTTGTTAGGTTACATTCAAATTCATGATCTCCCTCCAAAAATCAAGGTCTAAAGTTTCTCTCAGACAGAAAAGAAAATTTCCTTCCCAAGGGACACCACCCAGAGGTTATTACTTCAGTTTACTTAGGCCAGTAAGGAAGTACAACAGAAACACACAGATAAGCATTTTATTCCATCTAGCTTGACTATATTTATCTCTTGTTCTTTAATCGATGAGCCTCTAGAATTTGGACAACACAGCTGAGTCTGCAGCAGGCACCCTGCAGGCTTTGGCTCAGTTCCCAAGGCCCCATAAAGGCAAACCGAGGCGGTTCTTACCTCTACTGTCCCACTGTCTGAGGACCAACCCAAACCCAGCTGGAGTCAGGAGTGGTGCTGAGACTGGCATCGTTGCCATCCGTGATGTTCAACGAGGTACACAGGCAAGACCAAAATCTTTCTAGCAAACTCTACACATTTGTAGGGAACCATCTGTGAGGAATGACTTAGGGAATCAAGAGGCACAGAATTTTGGAAGAAGACCAGAATCTGGGAGACCATCCCAGCACTTCTCAAACTTTAATGTGCATATGAATCCCCTGGAAATCGGATTCAAGTGCAGGTTCAGCAGCTTGTGTGTGGGGGGCGGGGGGGGGGTGGGGGTGGGGCACGCAGCAGGATGAGTGGGGCTCCAGAGTCCACCTTTCTGAGAATTTCCCAGGTGATGCTGACACCTGGACTGTTCTGTGAGTAGTAGGGGTGTTATCTAACCCTCTGACTAGATGGGGGATAAGCCTGGAGAAGTTAAGGAAGTTGCTTGTTGTTTAATAAACCAGAGGGCAGAGTTCTAGTCCCAACTCTGCCACCACCAAGTGCTTCTTCTCTGATTTACACAATGTTGCCTTCTAAGAAGCAAAATACCCTGAAACAAAGCAGGTAATGATGAATCCAGGATTCGGTTACAATGTTTTAAGTACAGCCAGATAGTGAAAAGGGTTAGGAAAGCTAGAGAGGATTGCTGGAAGACAGCCCTTCGCCCAATCTGAAAGCTGTCATCAATCCATCAGTGAGGGTGCTGCAGCCTATGAGCAAGGCAGCAACAGGTTGGAAGGCTGGTGAGAACTATGGGACTGAAAGTTTTACGACCCCCATTTACATGGATCCGGGAGGCACGGATTAGGCATCATGCATTTTTGTGGCTAATCGGTAATGCATTTCCTCTTCCTTTCAATTATTCAATAAATGCATCTTCCCAGTTAAGCTCTTTCATCCTGACAGTCCATTTATCTTACTGAGCTTCTCCAAAACTGGCAAGAACACATAAAAAAAGAAAAAGGTTTTTTTGGGGGGTGGGGGGGGTGGGGGAGGGATATTGCTCAGTGTGCTCTGAATCTACCAAAGGATGAAATGTGCTGAGGCTGAAGGAAATGAGAACGTGTGCAAATTGACTAGTCTTATTTAGAAGTCTTATTCCATTTGGGAGGTTTTAAAATTTCTCTTTGTGTTTGTAAAAATAACATTATGCTTACAATAAAGGATATGCAAATTTGAATTACACTGTACAGTAAAAAGGCTGAATGTACTGCGTGTAAATTATATCTCAACAAACTTGACTCAAGCACAATACATTTAATTTTTTTAAATCTGAGGGTAGAGTAGGAAAAATGTGCTTGAGCTGGCTACAACTTGGATACAAATTCTCTGGGGAGAATGGGCTCGCTTTTAGTTTACTACTGCTGCAAAGTCACTTCAGTCGTGTCCGACTCTGTGCGACCCTATAGATGGCAGCCCACCAGGCTCCCCCGTCCCTGGGATTCTCCAGGCAAGAACACTGGAGTGGGTTGCCATTTCCTTCTCCAATGCATGCAAGTGAAAAGTGAAAGTGAAGTCGCTCAGTTGTGTCCAACTCTTCGTGACCCCATGGACTGCAGCCTACCAGGCTCCTCCATCCATGGGATTTTCCAGGCAAGAGTACTGGAGTGGGGTGCCATTGCTTTAGTTTACTAGTTTAATATAAACCCTGTCACCTTTGTGGAGGGTGATGTGGCAACATTTACCCAAAAAACTAAGGAGTTCCTTTGACCGGGCAAATAACAATTCGGTCTACAGACACAGTGAAACAGTATCAGGATGTGAATCACATGTTTGGAAACAACTCAAATGTAATCATCAGGGTCACATATAAATTTGATACATCTATACAGTGGAACCGACTGCAACTGCACAAATAAATGAGGAGCTACATATGTACAATGTAGAGCATACCCTAGCTTTTATGAAAAATGAAGAAAAATAATATATATTCATTATTATTTTATATCTAAAGAAGCTCTGGAAGAATACCCAAGAAACCAATAGCCTTGGATTACCTGCTTAGGGTGGAGAAGGAAATGGCACCCCACTCCAGTATTCTTGCCTGGGGAATCCCATGGACAGAGGAGCCTGGGAGGGGGGCTGCAGTCCATGGGGTTGGCAAAGAGTTGG